TAGGTGACCCTGCTTTGGCAGGAGGGTTGGACTGGATGACCCACAGAGGTCCCTTCCAACCCCTACCATTCTGTGATTCTGTGATTCTGTGATATTCCATAACTCTATTGAGTTTACTGGAATTTTCCTGGATAGAATGTGTCTCATTACATATGAGGTGTTTATAAATAGTTATATTTTTTACATTTGTTGTTAGAATTTCACAGAAATTGGAGAACAGGAGAAACAGGAGAACGTCCCTCGACCTGCTGGCGACACTCTTCTTGATGCACCCCAGGATCCCATTGGCTTTCTTGGCAGCCAGGGCACACTGCTGGCTCATGGTTAACCTGTCGTCCACCAGGACACCCAGGTCCCTCTCCGCAGAGCTGCTCTCCAGCAGGTCCACCCCAAGCCTGTACTGGTGCATGAGGTTGTTCGTCCCCAGGTGCAGGACCCTGTATTTGCCCTTGTTGAACCTCATTTTTTTTTTTTTCTAAGGAAATACCCAGCAATTCAAACAAATGAAATGCGAGACAGATACAAAGCAGTATTCAATGATCAGTTTTCTGAGTATAAAGAACTGTCTGTGGAAATTCATGCTGTATTAAAGAAGTTTGATGAGCTGGATGCATTGATGAGACAGCTTCCTCACCATCCTGAAAGCTTATATGTAAGTACCTGTGAAATGGGCTCATGGAAGACGCGTGTGGTATTAGGCAGTTTCTGACTGTCTTTAGCTAGGGCACAGTGTCTTGTAATACTGGCAGTGAATTGGTGGGAGAGAAAGTTTCCCAACAAATGCTATTTCTTGTTTGGTCATCAGTCAAGTGTAAGGTTGCAGTTAAGCTGTATACATGTTTTTCTGTCTGTGTTTTTTTTGTGGGATTTTTTTTTTTTCATGCTAGTAACTGTGAAGTTTGAATGAGTTACAGTTAATGTACTTTCACTATTTCTCAAGTACAAGATTTACAGCTAAAATGTTACAACTAGTATAGATTGATCAAATGAGATTTTTACTTCTGATGAGTATTTTGTAGAATTGAAGATATGGAGAAAACTCTCAAGTGTTTATAAAAATGTGTGGTCTTTCTCATTAGGAACAGGAAAGGATATCAAAAGTTCTGCAAGAATACAAGAAGAAGAAAAATGTGAGTGTTTTCAGCTTTAGATTGCTAGTGAATCTAGTGAATAGCAAAGACTGTAAATAGGTGACGTGTCTGACACTAGGTGCAATTCACTAGCTCAGGGTATCTGTAGCTACTACAGGGCTTTGTATATTTTGTCTTTTAAAACTTTGGCAAAGTTGGGACACAACCCCCTCCACACATGACACTGTTTTGAGAATAATGATTCCATTAGCCACATGGGGGGGGAAACAAAACCCAACAGTTAAGCGAGAGTATGTCTCATCTCTTAACATTCTGCATTCAGAAGACTGGTTATTTTTTGAGATCCAGTTCATTTATATGCACTGACTGACACAGCCAACAGATAAGTTAACAACAGAAAACACAGTCTTACCCTGTGTTTTCTTTGTGGCATGGAGCTTAGACTCTCAAAAAGTAATTTTCAGTGTAATCCAAGAAGTTTCACTTTGTAGTTTTTAAATGCGGGCAGTAAATGTGTACCTGTGTTCCATTAAAAACGTAATACATTACAAATAACTCTTTTTTATTGAATTCAAATTTTGTGTCCATGTTAGTTAAATTTCATTGCTTTTTTGGGGGGAAGGGATTTATTAGACATACTACAACACACCTATAGAGTCTAAATTGTTTAGTGGCATGTCATTTATATTTGCAGATTTCTGTTTAAAAACTGCTCTGGTTACTAAGTAACTGCAGCATATAAAAGCAGAACCTCTTTTTCCAGCCTTTCATGAAGGAAGGGGAAGGAGGAAATAAGAAATTGTGGCCAGGTGAAAAGAATCTGATATAGGAGAATATTTATATAGTGCCATTCATCAAGAATGTAATTGATAATAGACCATTCTCAGAAGAGTCTGAAAGTGTAATATATTAATGTAAAGGTTTTTGTATTTTTTGCAGGATCCTGCATTTCTGGAGAAAAAGGAGCGTTGTGAATACCTAAAGAATAAGCTTTCTCACATAAAACAACGAATTCAGGACTATGATAAAGTTATGAATTGGAACGTAGAAACTTAGCTGTGCCTTCCCTTTGTGGATACTATTTTCTATGTTCTAAATCAATATGCATATTTTAAACTATTTATTTACTTTCAGAACAGTACACCTATGGGGATTGTTTAATCACTTTGTCACTTACTTAGATGTGCGTTACTGGTGAGTTTTACATGCAGATCCAATTTTAAATTAATGTAATGAAGCTCTCAGGTGAGTTTAGAAAACCTGTGCTAACATTCTGCCTTTATTAGACAGTACACAGCCTGGCCCCTTAGATACGAGTACTTTATTTGAAAATACTGTATTTGCAAACTTGCAAAGCCCACCAGAGAAAGCAGTTCTAAATACCATGTCAAGAGTTTGCATAGAAATGCTGTTCACAATTTCAGATTGTATTTATAGTTCACATCTTAATGATATCGGAAAGAGTTGAGCTGTTCTTTCTGGCTGGGGCTTAGTGCAGTGCTTAATCATACTGAATAATTTGGCAAGTTGAAAATTAGTAAGAGTTTTTGTATTGTATTTCCAAATGCTCTGCTGTATGTCAGAAATTACCTGGAATTTCACCCAACAAGAGATGTAAAGTAAGTTCTTATTTAAGCAATCATAGTATACTGGGAGCCCAGGGGAAGTTGTGTTGGGGTTTTGTTGTTTGGTTTTTGTTTTTTTGTTTGTTTTTAATTCCCCTAGAGGTGATGTAACAAATTTATACAGGCCCTTAAAGAAACAGAGGCAGAGGATGAGACTCATGTTAGTGTTCCATTAGTGTTGCTATAGGCCAGTATGCTCTGCGTATCTTCTTGGGGTCATCTTAGTAGGAATCCATGGGTTTAAAAGCAAAACACTGTATTCTTCATCAGCAAGTAACAGGACTTTTTGTCTAGGTAGCAGCTGTTTGTGAACTTGACATTCAGAGAGTAAATGCAGCAAAAATAATTCTCATTCGAAGTATAAATTATGAGTATCCTTTATAAGGCCAGCTAAAATGTTTTCATAGACATGCTTTCTAGAGCACATCTGCATAAATTCAATTTACATTTTTATATTTTATCTTGGGGATAGATTTGTATATGCAAATGTTTTTATAAGCTAGCAAATTTTCTTTGTATGCTTTTTTGCATCTTTGTTTACTTTTTTACTTGCTAAAATCTAAAATTTTTAGAAGCATTGACTGTTTCTTTGTACAGTTTTCTACAACTGCAATTTGTCTGTTCTGAAATATATTTTAATTTGAAAAAAATCCCACCAGTGTAGCCATGTTATTCTATTACTTATAAAGGCATTTTGTTAGAAAAAAGTGTTCCAACTAAGGTTATTTCAAATGTTTGTTAGCAATTGTTTTTTCTTTAAAAGAAGGTTTTCAAGTTTTGCCTTAATTTAAAGGCAGGACATCAGGAAAGCTGTTTCCGTTTCAGACAGTGATGGTAGTACCACCTCTGTTCCTCAGTACTGGAAATGCAGTAATATACCTTGCTCTGGCAGTTATAACCCTTCTGATTTTCGAGCCCTTTTCATTCACACTGCAATCCTGATGGCTACAAACCCACTTTCATATTTATAAAGTTGACATTCCAATTTTATCAGCCACTTGATTCCAAGAGTTTTAGTGGGTGAAGTAAATAACACAAGACACCATGGGAATGCTGAGAGAATTTGAAAACTTGGCACCCCTTCATTTGAAAGCCTTCAATCTCGTCTACCTGGAAGGTGTCTCAATATTTTCATCAGTCTGAAGTCAGATGACAGTCCCTTGTTCTCCCTCTCTTTTCAGGTGCCTCTTTCTCTTGTTCAGGTTTCTATTCTTTTCAAAGAAGAGGAAACCTGTCTACCTTACAAAGCAGCTGGGCCAACTGTTTTATACCTGTCGTGCTGTATACTTGTTAAACTTTTCTTTGTAAGAGAGGTCCTAGTCCAAATCCCTGCAAGCTAAATGACCTCTCACTGTAAGTTCAGGTTTCTCATTTTTTTTTTCAGTGGGGTTCTGGACATTGCATCAGTACCAGGAGAAGAAGATTAATCCAAGTTTAAGGTTTAACTGATGTTTATGAAGTGCTAAAAAAAAGCTGACTGATGTTTTCTTTTGAAGATTCACAATCTGTACTCTTAATAGGTCTTCCTCCCTCAGGACACTGAGACCCAGCTCCAGGCTCCCTTTGACAGTGCTCTGAGTTTCAGTCTCAGAGAAGCTGTCTCCTGGCCCCTCAGACGGTGCCTGCATAGCCTCTGCAGAACCATCCTGCTGCAAAGTTTCCAATAAATGGGTTGGGGAAGGGGGACACAATGCCTGTGGCTGGAACAAGTAGATAAACCAAACAGCGACAGGTATGTGTGGATCCTCCATGTTTCCCAGCAAGGTGCCACAGGTGTTGGCCGAGTGGATTTTCCAGAAGCTGGGGAGAGAAGACAGGTAGAAATACTCCCTTCTGCCAGCCTTTGGGTTTCAAATAGGATTAGTGCAGGGCACAGCAGTGGGATGTGCTGAGTGTGGAGGCTCAGGAGAAGGCATTTACCCTTGCAGCTTAGAAATCCAGCAGGGCAACACATTGCGATTGTTACAGTAAATTACTTGCTCAGCCCTGGATCTGTTACAGACCGCAGTGCTGCTAAGCAGGCAGTTTTGGCGCATACAGTTGGTGAGCTAGTTTTGCTCTAACGTATCAATGGAGGACTCAAAAGGGTCTTGTCAACAGCACTATGAACGTACCAAATAAAAAATACCAGTCTAGGAAACATTTTTATCTCTTGGAGAAATTGCGATTAATGAATTAAGAATTAATGGCTGGGAGCTGAGGCTGGTCAAATGTAAGACAAAAATTAGGAGGAAAATGAGTGAAAATTGGTTACAACCAGAACTATCAGGGAAAGTGATCTCTTGAGATCTTTAAAGAAGGTATACTTCAGACAAAATGGAAGTTACTAGATGATTGTCACCTAGGTCTCTCTGTGCAATCTCTTGACTCTCAACTCCCTGAATCTATGGTGTTGCACGTACCTGTAAACAGTCTGTGATGTGGCCTTACTTGCGTGACTGGGTTTTTGCAGAAAGTAGTTAACATTTATTTGAAACTTACCCGGTAATACTGCCCAAAATCAGCCGGCATACAGCGTTACAGCCTGTCCTCAGACACCAAGTGCATGTAACAAGAACTTCTATCCTTCAGTCTTCCTCCTAGGAAAAACCTGCCTGGCACCACAGATCAACAAAGGGAAATGTCCAACAGACTTACATTTTCCAGGAATATAATAGTTTTCAAACTGGACTTGAATACATCGGTGGAAGGGCTTTCTTTTCTTATCTTGGCAAAAACAGCTGGATATCCTTGATCAAGATAAATGTGGCAACACCTGCATACTCTCTACCAATCTGTACATTTTTGCAGGGCAGATAAAGCAGCACCTAATGAATGTAACCAAAAGTTCGTATCACACAGTAGGATGGACTAGCTTTCATGACCTTCTATCAACCAAAAATACTTCTGGCAATGAAAAACCTAATGGATTTGAAATTGTAGAAGAAGCTATCCAGTGTTTTGTTTGTTAATCTCAAAATTGTGGTGAGATGTGAAGCATTTGGATAATCATAATCTACAAGTAAATCCTGCATTCCTGTCAGCATGGAAATTCTTGGCCTTGACAATAAAAAATATCCCTGTTCTGCAAGAAGTCTCATTTCTCTCTTCTATTGAAATTGTCAGTTTCCAGACATTTTTCCATTTTGGCATTTTACAAATTGGACTATTTTCCTTCTTAAGAAAGGATAGCGTGTGACCTAATGGGAGTAGACTACATACACACAACTTTATTTCAGTTCCTAGAAACAAATCTTGACTTCTTAAACCAAAGAATTTCCTTTTTTCCATCTTCAGTACTTTTTGTTGCTTTCCTTTAAATTAGCTTGTAGTTTTCCCAGGTATGGTTTAATTGAAAGCTAATTAATTTCTCCTCTGTTTCCCCTGTATTTATAAATTGCTCCTGATAAATGCAGCAAGCTGAAAGATACAGAGGCGGTAAGTTTTTCCCCATCTCCTATTTAAGGAAATGTTAGTACTGTTTAAATGTTTTCTTCCTGATTTGTTGTCTTGTTTGGATGCAGAGTGACACCGCTTAGAAACGGATGCTCAGCAGCTTTCCTGTAATTCAAGAGGTCAAACCCAGTCTTGGCACAATGCCACTGTATCCAGTGAAGTAATTATTGCTCTGCAGAGAAATTGGCTAAAACTGTATCTCCAGCTTTGTTGAGCTATTCCTCACTGTGATGCTTATGAAGTGGAAACTCTGGCTGAGATGGGTCAGTGCTGCTCAGAATTATTTTAGACTTGATCACGTAACATCAAAATACGTTAAACTAATTTGTTAGCTCCTCTTGTATTTTGATGCTAATCTGCAAACAAAACTCTGCACGTGAAAGAGTACACTTCTGCATAACTGCATTTTCTTTTTGCTTGCATTGCGGGAAAGCAACCATCTGCAAGCTTTTAAGACCTCATGTAATTTTCACTCTTTAACAAAATAAGTAATTTCAGACATTTGTACAGTTCTAGAACAGTTCTGTAATCCTGTTTAAATATGGATAAAGACCTTGTGGAATTACCAGAACATGTAAAATGGCTGTGATGTATTCCTTCATCCTGAAAGATTGCTTATTCCCTACTATTCCTAAATTATATGCACACTGTAGATGTCATTGGGTTTCTTCCCCTCTACCTGCAACTGAGTGGTTACAGTAATTTTCTATCACTGTGTGTAGTGTTCTGTTCTGGAGATATGCAAAAATTGTATATAGGCATGTGTAATTTCTATGTAAATTTTTTTTTGCACGGATTTTAGATCTTGGTAATTTTGAATGTTTCATAGTTCTGGTCCTGTTTTTCTATGCGCGAGTTTGTTCTGCTAACAGATCTGTCCCTCTGTTCCCTTGTACACTCGCGTTTGTGTTTTTTCCCTGCTTCTTCATTCTCCAAAGGCCAATCCGTCCTATGGCAACATTTTATCACCATGTCGTCTTCTCAAGCACTCTGACATTAATCCATGCCACTGAAAATGCTTTTCTTCTATTTAAGCAAATCATCCTCTGATTTTACCAGCGTGAACTAGTTGCTGTAGTAAATCCCTGAATGTACGGAGCATGCTGTGCTTCATCTGGTATCAACTGGTATGATATTACTGCAACATTTTTTGTCAGTGTCTGGGCATAGCAAAGTAGGGGTAACAGAAGAAAATTACTGATATAGTTAAACGTAGTTTTATAATCTTTACCATGGTAGTTGTGGAGGGTGATTAGTTAACATCTATAAATGTAACAGTGCGTTTTCAGTGTGAGAAGCACAACCTGTTTTCTGCCTGCATATGAAGATAATTGCTATTACAAGTGCTTTGCGTTTCTTCTTTGGAGAGAACAATGAAAGCCCCTCCCACACCTGTGTACCAGCCCAAACCCCAGTATTTCTACCGGGTGTTAAAACTGTGGCTGATTTTCTTCTTGATGCTTTCTTTTAGATTTTTTTCAGTTGTGTGTGTACAAACAAAATAGCCTCTTGCCCTATTTTGAAAAGCAAGTGAAAAGGAAAAGCTGTAGCTTCAGGAATTTTTCATCTCTAAGCAATCCCTACATTACAAAATCTTCTAGTCTAGACTTGTACTATTTTATAGACCAAAAATAAACTTTTTCAAAGTTGCATTGGCATGTATGGTTAGAACGCATCCAGCTTAGTATCTTGACCAGGAACCGCTCTACTACATTAATATTTCAAAATATTGCTGCTGTAATCTGTAATGACAGGACCTCCTGGATATGAACTAGTCGTTCTTATATCCTTCTGGCCACCTTTAAAAAATAAGTTGTATGCTTCTAAAGGAGACAAACAGCAAATTTAAAGCTACCTGAAAAATGGAATGTATACTCTTTAAGGAATAATTACATTTCCTTTGGTCAGAGCAATTAGCATATTCACTTAATGGAATACAAAGCATCCCAACCCACTTTTAAATGCAATTGCCAGTGAACTGTTCACAGCTTTGTAGTGATAGTTTATTAGAAGAAATCCACAAATAGAGTTGTTGGAGCGAAACACAAACCCAGCCAGAAAGGGGAGACTCTGAACATGGTGAGACTCTTCTGCTTTTTTGCAGAAACCTGTATTGCTCCACTACTCAGCTGGCTCCCGCGAGCACGTTAACATCACAAAAAAACATGCCCTAATCTTTGCAGCGATGAATGAATTCCAAGTTCTGTATTCCAGACAGAGTTAAAGTGCTTCTGGGATAATACGCCAATATTTTCATTAAGTAACTGATTGGTGTAATTACGCATTAAAATTCAACGCTACAGTGTGTGTGAGTAAATGGTCTTCCAGGCTCCTGGATTGTTCTGCTGATCACCGAACATGCTCCAGTTCATCACAGGAGCACGACTTGGCCCTGTTCAGCGGCCCCACAGACGAGGCCTGGCTGCTTTGGCCTTGGTGCAGGCTCCAGGCTCGCACCAGCCGCCCGTCCGCGATGCGCTCCCGCCGCGCCACCATCGTTTTAACAATCTGATCGCGGTATTTTGATGTTGTGGTGAGGAGTATCTGGTAACTAACTGTAGCGGCAGCAGTATTTTCCTCAGTTTGAGGTGCCGAGAAGAAGCCGCCGAGAGGC